CTGGCACCTCTTTGTAATCCCTCCTATCCTCCCTGGCGCCTCTTTGCAATCCCTCCTACTCGCCCTGGCTCTTTTTAACACACTGCTAATCCCACTGCCCTGGCACGTCTTTGCCGCATTGCCAATCCCTTGACTCACTTTGATACTTACTACATTACCAATCTTGGTGTGCCCTTGCTGATCCCTGGTGCAGCTTTAATAATACCTAGCAATTGAAAGTAGGAGGAAGTGGGCCCAAATGCTTATTAGGGCCTTACTGATACTGTTTCTTCCATTTTCTGCTTCCTTCACACTAGCAAGATGCAACTCCCAGCAGCGCCAGTAATCAGTCCAATTTACATGTATGTGCAGACCATCAACCAAGTTTTGAGACTTCTTCCCATTAGCGTAAGTATTATCTGCATTGCAAATCATCTGCATCATTGCTAATGATCTCTTACTGCAGAATGAGGAGGTTCGTCATCCCCGATTAGTGGTCGCTCTAATTGACTCTTGTCTTCCAGCCTTTCCATGGCCTGTCCAGCTGATTCTTGTTCATGGGATACGTTGCTGCGTGCTCTATTACAAGTTCAATGTGTATGTGTACGTACTACAAAAGAACATGACCATATATGGGAGCGGCATGGCGGGAGGCGGGAGCTCATTGCTGACTCATACTTAGGTCTGAATTTTTTAGGTGAGACAAACAGTGTTCAACTTTCATGCCACAACAAGCTTTGCCAGTCGCTCGTGGGGAGTTGTCCTCCAAAATTTCAGCTATAGTATGATGACTAATGTATGGTTCTATTTGTATTGGTTCTAGGTTCAGAGGACTTCTCCCCATGGGTGGCTGGGTAGGAGTCTGTAATGTATGGTTCTATTTGTATTAGGGGAGCTCACAGTAGGTCGCTTCTGCTGACACGTGAGGGACAAGGGTTAGTGGTGTGTTATGTAAGCAGTTAACTCCCAAACCCATACCACAAATGCCTTGCAGCTCGCTACATCAGCAATACTTAGAATCCTATATCTTTTTCATGATCATTCAAGCACTCTTTCGACCTGCACAGACACTCAAAGACCTTTCACAACAGCTTACTACAGATATAAATTGCATATTGGCCATACAACAAGCTTGCTACCTGAATTCTCGCCCTCCGGTCCTTAAATCCGGCAGTCTACACCTCGCGTGGGAATGGGCAGCACTCTGGTAGGACAATAGCACCAATCCATTTATAAACGCTGGCCTTCGTCTCACCAGATGTGTTCTGATGGCTCCGTGAATTAGTACTAGTGACTCAGATATCTGCGCTCACCTCATGTTGATCTTTTTTACCAAACAAGACCTTGTAATTTGCCTTTGCACTGATTTCCACGATAAGTTTCCATACATGCGAGTGCTCGTTCTCGTTCCACTGGATGTCGGGCAGATTCTGAATCTTCTTCGATTTAGCCATGCGAGGGTATAAAGTAGAGTACAATGCAACTTAGCGCACTCCGAGCGGATGGCCAGAAATGGTATATTCAATTTAGTTTCTATTTATTTTGCTGTATATGTGAAAATATTGATTTATTATGGACGCAGAAGCAGAAGCAGAAGCAACCTACTGTGAGCCTACCTATTGGTTCTAGGTTCAGAGGACTTCTCCCCACGGGTGGCTGGGTAAGAGTCTGCACATCCCCATGCATCGATTCGGAACTCTCTTAACACCGGTTGTGGATCTGGGGTCAACGTGTACTACAATTATGAGGATGACCTCAAAACTACTAATTCATAACTTTACCCCCGACAACAACAGATCCCTCTAAACGACATAATACCTCAATGTCTCTTACAATGCTACCGAGCCCTGCCAAACCTGTAACGGATTCTATGTCACTTGACAATAACTTTCACGGCGGTTGCGAATAACCTGTCAAAAGAATCCAGCTGTTTGCAAAGCATGAAGAACTTGGATCGAAAACGGCCCTGCGTGTCTAGTTTCCAGGTTCGACCTCTACGGGTACAGGGCGGGAGGGTGCAAAGAGAAGTAATGATTAGGTCCAGCCATAGACCACACAAAGTGCGTTGACTGTGATTCCCATCAATGTGAAAGTCTGATAGAATCATGGATTTGTCACTGGTTTTATGCTCTGCTACTTGGGCTGGACAATCTACCATTTTAACCCTTGGAATTGAAATACACTGTCTCTCCATAAGTGCGTCTACTTTGCTTCTCGATATCTGTTGGCCAGACACACCTATGATCCCAGAAACGACCCCTCGATGCCGAAGAAGAGTATTCAATGTACAAACAACGCACCATTCAAGGAGGATATAGGTGTTGGTACGTATAATTGCTATCTTGACATTTCTCGTGCTGCATATTGTCCAGGTTTCATCGGCAAGGAAGGAGACCTACCAAAGACGACTCTATTTTGGCGTGGCGTAAGGCATGGGCAGAAGTTGAATGTAGAATTTACTCCGCATCTACAAGGTTCTATTAATCCAGACCCTACCTGGAGGATGACTCAATCAAGTCCGCAATTCAGAATCACTGCCTTTTCGACCAAGACCTCGCTGCTCTCGACAGGCGTACCACGTGGCTCATCACATATGATAAGTCCACCGGAGTCTTTAGCATCGATGAGGAGATCAAGAGCGATGTTCAAGAGCTATGATGACCTGTTGAACATTTTCTTTTATGAACCTCTTTCAAATGTTGGCTGCTGTTGATTGCTGGCAGGTACACTATTGTGCTGTTTATGGATGTGAAAGCTGGAGTTCCTGTCAAGGAGGCGGTTTGTTTGAATGCCAATATGGAGGTGAGTGCGTGGACATCTGTATTGTTTGGAAATGCCAAAGTCAACAAGAAAAATCTTGTGCGCATCCTTGCCAGTTCTGATAAGAATGTTGTCGGGCTTCAAGTCGCGATGAATGAAGTGTTTGGAGTGAATGTACTGGAGGTGGCAGACCTAGTGAAAATGTTAGAATCAGTACATGTGATTTAGGAAATACTTACGAGCTGAGGAGCTATGAACACTATAGTGTTGTGGCTGAATGAGTGTTGATATGCCTTGAATAAACTCTCAAGCGACTGTCCAAGACAATCAAGGACTAGGGCATCATAACTGTCCTCCCGTCCAAACCAGTGGACATGGGGGATGCCAACAGTATCACCAAGTTGCCTGAGCACATTATACTCATGCTCCAAGCTGGTTGTGGTGGTGCCAGTAATACATTGAAGCTTGACAACCACATCACTGTCGCCAATGATATCACTTGCATGATACACTTCGCCTGTCACAAAGTCCAGTCCTCGCAGTGAGATGTAATAATAAAAACAATTCACTTACCATAAGCACCTGACCCTACTTTGTCTTTCAGCCGATACCTCCCATTGACACGCACAGGAATCATCAAGTCCTAAGTATGATGTTGATGTACACAGATAGAATTTGAACAGATATGATATGCCAATGATACACACATTCAACACGTATGTGCGCCATAGCGGCAACTTCCGGAAGTGAACAGATGAGTCACAAGTATCACCGAGGTCATGTGCCGTGGCATTTTACCGGCCTCTGCAGTCAAAAAGAAGTTCAACATAAGTAGTATTAGTGCATACTAGTAGTACACAGATAACTAAGGCGTTTCTGAATGCTATGTTACAGATGAAAATTGTAGCCTCTAACGAGTCCAAGATGAAGGCTGTGGAAAAATATAAATGTGGTCCGGCATATCCTCAGTCTGCTCTGACGTGATTTTAGCTAGTATGTCATCCATGGGATCCTGAGATACATTCGGTTGCACTCCACTCGGCTTGTCGGGATCATCATCAGGAAGGTCATGCTGTGACATTGTGAACTGTTGAGAGAAATTGAGCCATTCTTTTTTCAGGCCGTATTTCAACATCTGTAGTGCCTCTATCAATGTCTCACTGATTCGGTTCCATTTTTTCGTGTCAGTTTCTGCACTCGATGAGAAAACTCGTTCACATGGGACTGCAGAGGCCTGAACAGGCAAATAGTCCATGGCAATTGCAAATAATGTTGGGTACGTCTTCCGCTTCATCTATCAAAAGCAGAGAACGTTAGTACTGCAGTTGAAAGAATAAATGGTGCGATGTACCTCCCAGAATTTGAGTACGTCAACACCTTCATCCCAAAGGTCACCATTAACGTAAGATTGATACTCTTGCTTGATAGTCTGTGGGCCTTGAGACTGCTGTGGACGCTTCACATGCATATCTCCAAGGCCATAAAGTCGAGCGAGCGAGTTGATTGTGTCAACCTTGGAGGTGCGAGTGGTATTTTACTGCTTGGCAGCCTCGGTGAAATTTGCTTTTGGTATTCCACCATCTAAACAATCAGATCGGCATACACATCGGGGTTATCAATATTTAGCAGTGGTTTATATGTAGTACAAAATGTGAAGAAAGCATTTGAAGTTTAAACTGACATAAAGATGGAGAGATAACTTCAAATTTTGGCAGTGTTTTCTTTTAAATACAAAATTTGAAACATCGGCAACCGTATCCCCACTGACCATATGTCAATAACAATAAGAAATTTAATCTGAATTTTTGCGTGTGCTCAACTTTGAAGTTCAATTCTAGCCTAAAATGTTGGACAAAACGTGAAGTTTGGGACGTGATCATACGCCTGCTTATGTATGAAGTATTGTCCAACAATTAAGATGCCCTGAAAATTTGAAGTTTATGCCTGTGACGAAATGCGAAGACAAAACTTGAAGTTTTGTCCAGAGACAATATAAATCGCCCGATCATCACACAATCGTAGCCCGCTCACCACCCGGATTCGTTACCTCAAAGGCATTTTATTGTTATCAGGTACTAGCTACAGTTTTGTAGCATAACAAGGCAATTCTTATACGTAGCATAAAACAAGAAAACTATGTAAATTTCATGAGTGTGAATGAGAAAAAACAGGAACAGATGGAGAGGCAGCCAAACGGAAGCACGGAGGAGGCTGATTATCTTGTCAATATCAATAAGAGAGTTTGGTTGAATGACTTACCGTCAATCACGAGATACAGAAAGAATCACTATATGACTGTCAGAAACCGCCCACCGCGCGAAGTGACTGACTACCCAGGACACCTTGGCTTTTTCGAGACGACTCTGGAAGTTGGTCGAGTACAATTTGGCTGGAAAATCGGGATACATCGAGAAGGGGTCGATAGTACGGCTGTTGTCTAATGGGAGATGTCGCTGTACAGCAAACAACATTTCTCCTGTCAGCGTACCATAGATATATTTGATGCTAGCGGCGACAGGAGTCAATGATTTATCTCCGTTGGGATAGAAAAAAATCTGGCTGTTCCCCATGTGCGTAGATGCCCTGCAGTAAACAATACCATCAAACTTTAGCGAGGCGCACAATACTGCTGTTCGTCGCCTGATGAGGGCATATAGATCCTCAGGCACCGTACTGGTCATTGCCGAGTCAGGAACCTGGACAATATCATCCATAGGGTCTTCGGCAAGCTCTTGGCTGGGATCCGGAGCACCCTTTGGGGCATATACTTTATCAAACAGAGCCCTGCACTCTTGGATAGCGGGCGGACAATCTGTTCGAGCGAGCCAACGGTGAAGCCTAGCAGCCTTGATGTATGAACGCAGCATTGTGTTCTCGAGCTCCCCTGAAAAAAATATTAGCCCATTTTGCTCGTTCAGTATTCTGACAAGGACCGACCAAATTTGTGATTAACGGGAAGGCGTTGGAGTATGCCAATCAGACATTCGAAAGGGAAACACCACCACGAGTGAGCGGGTCCGAATAGGAGCAAAAAGTCATATAAGTGGAAAGACGCATGGTGATTTGGGCGGAGAGAGAAGGTAGGATGGATCTCCTTCAACTTTCCGACATAGCCAGAGATATACGAGCGGTAGGTGTTTGCTCTTCTTGTTGTCATAGTTCGTGCGCATGCAAGATACACCGCGCACACTAGTTCCATAGTGTGATCAAGAACACTTCTGAGGTGCACAGAAAGTTCATCGGAAGCATGAGAGGTACCGGCACCCCACAAGCTCACAAGAGCAATGGGAAGATAGACTGTGATAAGTGATCGCCACTCATCAGCTTTAAGCGTCCCAGCAGATGCATCTCCAAAATCACTGGGGACTGAACCAAGCCAAGTGGGGACAGATGCATCTCGGATGACGTCGCGAATGCGTCCAAGTACTTCTGCTGTCCCAAACTGAGGTTCTTCTATGGGAGCGGTTAAAGGTTTTCCATGGCGCTGTGAATAATCATTAAGAAATTTGAGACAGTAACACAATGACGAAGAACTTACCCACTCGAGAAGAGCTTTGACATAATCTATCTTGAACGTTCTACCAGTTTTCTGTGGCATACAGCCCAAGTTATTACAGATATACTTCAGCGGTCCGATATTCTTGTGGAACAGAGAGTCTTTCAGCTTGTTAAAGCAGGCCTCTTCATTGGGAATAGTCATCTGGGAAAGAAGGAGGGCCTGGATCGTAGATACCTGTGTCATTTCCTTTGTCGTCATCGTCCCAGAAGGTACTTCGCCAAAGTCGTACGAAAACGCGCGAGGGGTAGAGGCCGAAGCGGTTGACTTCGAAGTCAAACCGAGCAGATTACGAGTATGGTGAGGAACCAAACCTTCCAATAGACAATGCATCGGATCAATGACGAGCTGCCGGGAGGGGTCCCAGTACGGTAGACGCCAGAGCTCGGAATAATGCACACCATGAGCCTTGAACAGTGCTTCACGTTCAGCGAATGTAGCAGCATCTCTCCACTGCTCAGCATATGCTCGGAGTTTGTCTCTATCACGAGGTGTCCAATTCTCGAAGTCTACTCTTCCATAAGTAGATTTGTGATAGCAATCACATGTGCTGCAGTAGAAATGACTGCTGACTCCAGCCAGACATGAGAGATGGCGAGCAGCAGGAAGATCACAGACGACAAGGGCAACAGCACTACGAGTTAGACGACCATTGGGGTAACACGCAGTTTTTGAAAACTTGATGCCGTGCTCCCATGCGTCTACCAAATCATTCATGAGTGGTCGGATGTAGTGATTGAGATTTTCCAAAGACGGCTGCTTCGGACCTGGGATAATACCTGCAAGATACATGTTCTCTGGCTTATATCTGATATCCAAAGGCAGATTCAAGCATGCCATGGAGATAATTCCGCAGGACGTACTAGGTCCCCACACATTCATCCCTTCAGGATTGAAGAAATCCACGTGAAGGGCGAAGGCATAACGTCCTTCTTCTCCTCTGTTGATAAAAAGTGTGTCAGGCTTCGGGCCGCCAAATGACGGAGGAATTGGGCTTCAAATGGATTTTTGACAAAGGGCGGAAGAGGAGAATTAATGGAGTCCATGAGATCATCACACGCTTCATCCATCATGGCTTCTACATCTCTACGAGAGAGGAGGCCAGAAAGATAGTCTTTGAAGTCGTGATACATGAAAGTTTTCTTTGGACGGTGTTCTCCTTCAGGGCCAACAAGTAAAGCATCACCACATTTGGTCCCGGGTGTAGGACAATGAATGCAACGTTTAGGGTATCTTGCAGTCGTAGAGCCTGGTGCATATGTCGGAGGATAAGTACAATGACAGCTGCAGATGGCATATGCGATAGTTTTCCCAGTGAGATGGAATTTGCCTCTGCACCATCCGAGGTCAGAGGAATTTGCTGGAG